CTTTATCATTTTGCAAATTATTACTTACATTTAAGATATTATTCAAACAGTTTTGAAGACTAGTTCATATACTCAATTACCTCATAATATAAATGAGGGTGATAGACACAGAAAATATCTATAATATGTTGTGACAAGTTCTTGCAATGATGGCTTGCATCCTGCACTGTGGGAAAGCAAAACATAAAGAACTAACCGCTCTGCTGTGGGATGGCTGATCGGACAAGCATTGGCCACGTTTCACCTAGGTATGAAAGAATGAATATAGTGGACTAGCTAGGGAAAAAGAGAAGAGAGATATGTCATATACAGAGAAGAACATTTGAAAAGGCGTCAAGGTTGACATGGGACTTACTCTTTGGGGAATGGCAGAATTCTTTGTTGTGGCAGAAGCTGGAGTGCTAGAGTTGTGAAGATAGAAGTATTAAACAGGTAGGCTGGCTCCAGATTGTGAAGGTACTTGAGTGCTATGTTTACAAATTTGGATTTTGAAATAGAGGTACTGTATTCTTTTTATGGTCATTTATTTATAAGCTATCAAGGAAAGGGTGATTCAATCAAATCAGCAAGTAACAGTGGCATTTTTCAGCAACTTTGATACTGAACTAGCCACAGGGGTTCTCTTTGGCCTCCTGATTTTCCAAATCTGTCCCAATTTCATATAAACTAATAACTGTGGCGTAGACTTTTATTGGCATATTACAGTCCCCTGAATGAGAAAATGTGACAGATAAGCTAGAGAACTGCCTTAGTTTTTCTCCCATGAGACAGAACTCTGACCTTGTATTTTGAGTTTGGGGCGTTTGGGATGTTGGTGACTATTTTTTAGTTCAATGACTTAGTTGACTGAGCTAGGAAGGAACTATCTGAAACCGACATGGACTCTTGCCAGATTAGCTAGGGAAATATTAGATTTTTCCAAATCCAGTCTCTATCACTTTAAAACAGATAATTTAGAGGAGAATAAAATATCTTGAAAATTAATGGCAATTTTGAAATAGAATATTTTGTCAAAATCAAATTCATTTCATTAAATGCTTGAGAAGAATGCAACGAGTAAATGAGGTATGAATAACTGTAAGATGGGACAATTACCACCTCAGAAACAATATATTTGTAAAGTTAATTCTTCTTGAACATGAACAATCCCCTTACACTTGACCCCTTTCTATTGCCTCTTCCATGCTTGAACTCTCCTTGAACTTTGAAGATCCATCTTGAGAGTATGATATGGCCATCTCTTTTGCATCTGGTTATTTTAGCTCCAATTTGCAGCCCTAAAATGGCAATTATGGTGATGTATTGCAGAAGTCACCCGACATGGATTAGTATCGGGATCAGCACATTTATGCACAGGAGTAGTGAATGGAGACTGCAGCTATGATTTTAAATGACTTGATTAATTCTGAAACAACATTTCAGAGTCCATTAGGTCCAGCAGGTGTTGGGGTGCAGACTGTGCTTTTTTCCTAAACAGCATATTCGATTAAAATGCCAGAGTATTTTGGATTCATCTATTATCTTTCCTAGAATAGTTTCCTTTCACTCTGTTAAATCCCATTAACACTCACCACTCCTCCTGAAAGAGATCCTCTCCTTGTTGTGCTTCTACCCAAGTTCTCTTGTATCAGTTACTGCCCCCCAGCTCTGTCTGAGCCACTTGAACAATGTGTCCTGTTCTTGTTTAAGGGGGTATTTACATGACAAAACTCCTGCTAAAAGCTCTTGCTAACTCAGGTCAAAAGAAGGCCAATTGTGGTGTATATTCTTAGGGCCATTTCATCAGCAACTCGTGTCAAGGTTAGACATGTGTCTGGTTAATGCCTTGGTTCAATGCTTTCTTTTACTACTAAATATACATGTACATGACATTATGCATCTCCCCTCTGCCCTCCACCCCATCTGGGTGTCACTGCTCTAATAAAAAACATGTAGGGCTGGGCTTCTCATTTAAGTTCTTTGGGTTTTGAAATTCCTAGATTCTTTGTCGGTTTTCATGGATTCTAAGGTGCCTTTCTTTGAAAAATTCTGACAATGGGCCTTTCACGCTTCATCACTTCCAATTCCTTTCTTTACAGCATAAAGAGCATTTCAATGGTGCAATGGTACAACATTTGTACAATAATCTCAAAATGCGGTATCATGAATTGTTCTGTCATCTGTTCCTCTGGCACAATGGGCCTGTCTCTATTACAGCACATAGCAACGTGTATTCTAGCTATTTTTGGGTCACTATATTTGTCCTCCTTAAGAGTCACATTTTATTCCTCTGTCTTTAGCCCTGTTTCACATTTATCCATCCATCCTTCCACCCATCCATCCATTCATTCATCAGTCTATCTACTTAACACATGTAGAGCCTTTATTATTATTGTTGTTGTTCTTTGCTAAACAATGTGCTACATATTCAATAAATATTTTTAATTTCATTGAATTAATACACTCTTGGAAGCCAAACAAAAACAAATCATACCGTTCTAGTCACCTAAAATTAATGTTTCTCTTATAAGTATCTAATATAATGACAATATAATAAGTATATAAAATATGTATAAATAGGAGGCAGGACACTTGATTATTAGTATCAACTTTTTTTATATACTAATGGTTGAGTTACTTGAACAAGTCACATAATCTTTTTGTGAATTTTTTTCATTGTAAAATATAGATGAAACTTATTTGTCCTACCCAACTTATGGTGCTGTTGAAAGGGTTGAATAAAAGAATATAAGTGAAAATATTTTGAAAACCACACAAAAATACTACTTGGTATGATGATAAAGATGGTAGTTGAAAGTATATGGCTCTGTTTCACATGTGGTATACCCGGGATTAATGTCTTCCACAGCAAGAGAACTAACGTTCATTATGAAGCTGCCATAGGTAAACTGATGAAACTATTCTGTTGTTCAAAACTTCAAATTATAAATTTGTGTATGCTTTTAATATGATGACCAATATAAATTTTATTCACAAGAAATGGATACCATGTTTAGTAATAACAGTTCAGATTTTTCTGTTTTACTGAAAGGAACATGTGTAAAAATAGAATACAGATTATTTTAATGTTGAAAACTTGGATCTGAGTTACCTGATAACTTTCTATATTGGTTTTAAAACTATTATAATTTCAAAGGATATGTCATAATTATAGTTTTTTAATTCCCAAGCTTAAACATTGAGACTTTTAAAAAATTTTGTTCATCTCTTCTTGCAAATTTGGCAACAACTGAGAAATAGGACATAAAAGTCAGACAAATAGAAATCCTTATTCCTCATAACAGCTGAACTAGTGAGTATTACTTTAGATTTATGGCCAGAGAGGGCTTACTAATATATCACTGGATGAGTCTTTCCTCTCTCCTCAGAACTACAGGCCCCATCTTGCACAGGTAGGACTTGACCTGCTAAGCTACCGCATGGGAGAGTGGCCCAAAAGCTTGCATCCTGCAGTCAAGCTGGCTCTTAAAGAGAGGGACCCAGAAGATGCTATATCGAATGTACTCAATTACTTCTCCCAAATTCCTCCATTGGATCAGTCCCTCTTCCCATGAGAGGAGTAACTTGTCCATGCTGCGCATGCTGGAGAACAGAGTGGAAATGTCCTCCTTTAGATGGAATCATGGGTAGTAACTGTCCTCAACCCATCATCATCATCATCATCATCATCATCATCATCATCATCAGTTACACACTGAGCAAACTCCACCACAGCAGAACCTCAGGCGGCCCCACCAGGGACATTGTCTACTGAACATCCTGAGGAAGAGAGGAAAGACCTTGCCTTTCCATACGTCTACCCCCACCCTTACACTCCCACCCGCCTTCTCTTTCTAACAGTCTAACTAAGAGTTTGGCCTTTTTGTTTAAAAACTACAACAGAAATAATTGTTTTTAAACATAGAACAGTCCTATCGTTTGCTTTAGGAAGTTGGACTTATTAGTTGCTAAGATCTCTTTCTGTTGAAAATATTTAGTGGCTCAGAATTAGTACCCATGTAGAGAAATCATGAAGTTGCTCAAAAGTAGATTTTGCTCTTTTTAGTCATGATTTCTTCCTCTTTCTACTTTCATTCCCGAAAACTAAGGTTGTTGATTTTAAATAGTGGGTGAGCAGGTACTTCAAATCTCTTAATAAACATCAATAGTAAATTGGTTGATTACTGTTGAAAAGAACAAAAAGTATCAAAATATTATTCCAGTGCATGATGTTTTGCAAATATTATCATTTTAGCATCGTTTTACTTTTTAAGGCAACACTTTCCTGGATAGGTGAAAAAAAGACTAGTTGAAATCGCACACCTTGGTCGAACATCTGTTGTGTGCAAGGCATCGTGCTAAGTAACTGTGGAAGATAGAAAAATACTAAACCATGAACAGTTCCTTCACACCATATATGCATAATTTCCCCCACAGGCATTTATATTCTAGTAGAAATGTGCTGAATTAAATCTCAATACTGGAGGCCAAGGACATAATGCAGGGTCCCAAACAGAACAAACCCGGAGCTGCCTGGATTAAAAGTAATGGAAAAGAAACGCTAATGCTAAAGATGCGTATTCCAGCTGGTGGGAGGTGCATTAGAACAGACTGAACACAGAATCCACTGGAGTCTCATACAGCCGGACAATAGCACAAAGCCCTAAGTGCCCGAGAGGAAGCTTTGAATAGCTCAGTCAGTCTTTCAGTTTGAATGGATAGTATTGGACAGAAGTGTCTCAGGCATTGGAAGAGTGTGGGAGGAAAGAGGAGGAGATGTTATGAATATCTTATCCTGAGCTTTAAGATGAGAACAATGGGCTTCTTATGCAAACTGAATTGAGATGACCATCCTATTTCAAATAGCCAAGAAACTGCATAACTTAAACCTGGACATTTAATGCCATAGGGAGTTTCTCTATATGGATTCACTTTACAAAATAGTACACTGTCACTGCTTGATCTTTTTAAAATTCTTTAAACAAAATTAAAGTTCACAAAAATAAAGTTCACATCATCTTCCTGGTTTAGAGACTTATGCCCTGCTGAAAAGGCCAAGCAGGACTCAAGTCTGCCTTGAAGATGACGGTAGAGGAGTGAACAAATGCTTGGTAAGTTTCCTTACGTGTTTGCTTATTTCACAAACATTCTTAGCTTTCAATTCATCATAGTTATAAAATTCTCAAAGTTTAAAGTATTTTTAAAATCATCTAAAAATAACCTCTCACCTATTTTAGTAATGCCTCCTTCTCAAGTATCTCCCATAGATGGTCAAAACCTTCTGAACGAATTTGGTTGCTTTAGTGATTCAAAGTTCCGTGTTTGTTTGTTTTTTTAAATCTCTTTGCAACCAGTACCTTACAACTTTTACTCTTTAATTCCCTATCTGACCTTCCCCATCTATGGACAACCATCATATGTTGGAATATAACTGTCTTCCCTTAGTTTTTCCTAATCATATTCAGGTCCTTCAGCAATTCTTTGTGTGGCATCCTTTTCCAAGGGAATATCTTAGGAATATTATTTCTCTGTATTTTATTTATTTCATTACCACTGAAATTACCACATCTCCCTTCCCTCCACCCGCTACCTTCACTTTCTTGGGGGGAATTTTTCCACATTTCCCTTCCCAGAAACTTTTACAAGATGACATGTAGGGACATAAACAAGTGTTAGGCTTTGTGTGAGCAGATAGACTCATAGAGTTTTATAAGTTTGAGAGACACTCATGAGTGAAAGCTTTTTGCTTACAAAGACTACTACTGTGTGCAAGATGCTTACTTGTCAATTTCTGAATGGGCAGGAACATTTGGTAGCCTATTTTCTTCGCATTTAGTATTGAATTAGCATAAAATAACTGGTCTTCCATGTTCTATGTGGCCATGTCTATTCTTTATGGGTCAAAGCAGGAAAAAGTATTTCCAAATGATTGAGACCAAAAATTTCTCGTAGAAAAATGTTTTATTTGGGGCCAAATTTATCTGTTTTGTGACTTTATTCATTTCACAGGCAATTTCTCACATGTTCATTGTTTTCATTTTTCTTGAATCTTTATTACAGAATAGTTGGAATGCAAATACCAATTATTATCCAGAAATGGGCACTCAGTTGATTTTGAAGGAACCTGAACTTTTGACTTGGATTATTCAGTCACTCAAAACTACATTTCTCTGTGAGTTTCAAATCATAGCAGGGTTATTTAGGCAACAAAAAAAATTTAAGGATGTCCTTAAAGTCTATTTTTAAGGGAGAGGACTATAAAAAATAGTGAATGGGTATTCTAAATAGCTAGGGAAACGAATGTGTGTATGAGGGTAATGTAGGAGTGATGCCCAAGGTGTAGAGTGGGGTGAGAGTTCATGTGAAGAACATGAACCAGGAGGTAATGTATGAGGGACTGTGTCATAGATGACCATCCTTTATTAGAACATCTAAAGTTGACACTTTCCCCAAACAACAGTGACTTGTTAATATGTTTTTCCTGAGAAAAAGGGTAACCAAAACTTCACACCCTCCCAGAGCCTGGAGAGTGGGCAGACTTTGTGTCTCAATGTACCACAGAGGGACCCTCATTTCAAGTCACACTGAACTCCTCTGGAGCCTCCCCCATCATCCTTCCCCAACCTCCAAACCTTTGAGACACCAGCCTAACACTAGCTGTGTCTGTAATCAATGGGGAGGAGTGCAGCACCCCATCCTGGAAAATTCCACTGAAATGTTTCCTCAAGCAGAATCTGACCTCAGGCACACAGCATCCTTTGTTCACATTTCTCACTCTGCCCCCTGCTAACGTGGAGGGTTTTAACAGTGGGAGCTCAGAATAGAGCTGCAACATAGAGCATAGGGATACACAAATCCTTATTTTATTAACACTGTAAATTCCATTTCCTCAGAATGGCCAATTTTTCTCTGCCTAGCAGCAAAAAGATAGTTAAAGGGACTTCTGGTGACATTCCCTTTGTTTAATGAAGCTTGGAGTTATGGGCAACTGCCTTGAACTGCCGTTATTATCTGCATGAGTGAATAAGGGCTGAGGGTCCAAGTCTGTGCAAAGACTTTTATTGCAAATAGGCACATTGATCATTCATAATCAGACCTACCAGGTCAGCAGAGCTGCGGTGACAGCAAGCCCTGAAAAAGCTGACCAACGGAGTACTAGCGCTCATAGGTTAACATATATTCAAGCAGAATGAGATCCTCTTTTCTTTACACCCTTGTCTCTTGGCTTTCTTCTGACAGAGTGGGAATGAGAACCAAAAGGCATTTGAACTATATCCCATATCACCAACCACAGAGTCATCCTCTGCCCCTCTGAGGCCTCTACATGTTTCTAGAGCCTTGTTTCTTTAGAGGTGTATTCCTTCTGTGTAAAGGTTTGTGCTGTCGGCCTCACATTACCATATGATTTAGGATATTATGGTCCTGGTTCCCTGTAAATCCATGGCTTTCTGATTCCCAATATTTACTCACATTAAACTCACATTCAGAAGAGAGCATTTCAAAGACGTCCCTATTTGAAACTTCAGAGCGAATGTCGAGCCACGTTTGTTTCCTTATCATTGCATTGGCTAGTAAGCTCTTAAAATATATCTTTGAATACAGGGACATCCTATTTGAAAAATCGGCTTTATTACATTACTAGTGGCTGGTGCACGAAATTCGTGCACATTGTGGGGAGGGGTGTCCCTCAGCCTGGCCTGCACCCTCTCCAATTTGGGACCCTGGATTTGTGTGTTGGTTTGTTGTCTCAGTGACACAGGGACAATGGAAAGGCCTGTACCTTCACCTAGATTACAAAATTGGAAGAACTAGATAATAAATGCATTTTAGATTTTAGGCCTTGATTCTGCTCTAAAGAGTGACAAAGCTAAGGAGGTATTAATCAGTAGAGAGCATGACAGTAGTAGCAGGGATATAAAATTTGAGCAGAGTCTGAAATCAAAGAGGATTTTGAGATTAATAGAATATGGTGAAAACACCAAGAAACTCAATTTGATGTCCCATGTTCATACAGAAAAGTGGCATTGCTAGCCCATTTTGAATTGGATGTGCTTTGTGAATTATTTTTCTAACGGTAATGAATTTGCAATGGTCTATCTACACGTGATCACTCAGTTGACCTTGTGACCAATGACAAGCATATGTCAAATGGCTGGCAAGGGTGAGGGGTTTCCTGAGTCATCTGAGTGATGAACCCATGAGCTTGTTAGCGTGATTTCTTCATCAGCTGTGCTAAGTGAACAAAGACTGCACTAAAGGGGTAAGAAGGAAAATGTGACCATTTTGATAATCACTTCTTTTGCGACTTGATGCAGGCAAGAATCAACTAGGCTGTGATTCTTCCATCAGATGCTGAGAAATGAGGAAGCATTTTAAGTCTAAAACAACTAAATATATACACACTTATGACAGTATTTTTAGATGTTTTTCCACATTGCCACATAAACTCAAAATCAGCCCAAAATAGTAGTCCAACAAATTTTACAATTGATTTTGCACTTAGTGAACTACTCAATACATAGGTACTAGTAATTTGATTTTAACCATTAATTAGAAGTTTAAACATAGAATTTTGGAAATAAAAGGGACTTTGTGGTTTAATCACTCATTCTAAACTAAACAATCTTGAGGCTCAAGAAAGTAAGTGACTATCCTGGAGATTATCAGAGATTTAATGGGCCCCTAATTTCTAGCTCAATGTTTTTTGTCTTACTCTCTATAATAATTTGTATTTTTTAGATTTTTACACATAAGTTTTCATTCAAAGTTTCTCTTTGGTTCCAATTACATGTTTCAGAGGTTTAGGGTCCAAATAAGAATCATATACTGCCTTTAGTTTTTGTGATTCTTAAATCTCCTTTAGTCTGGAACAATTCCTCAATCTCCCCCTAGCTTTCATGACCTTGACATTTTTGAAGAGTTACTTGTAGGGTGTCCCTCATTTGGGGTTTGTCTGAGATTTCCTCCTATCGAAGGTTAGGTTATGAATATTTGGTAGAGTACAACAGAAATGGCACTGTATTATTTTCAGAGTACAATACCAAGAAGTACACTCTACCAAGTCTTCCTGTCACTGGTAATGTGTCCCTGAACACTTGGTTAAGGTGTTGTCTGCTAAGATTCTCCAGTCTGAAAGTATGTTTTACTTATTAAATAATAAGCAGTTAGTAAGTATTTGTGGGGAGATGTCTGAGATCATGTAAGTTTCATTTCCCACATCAAACTTTTGTCCATTAATAGTAGTATCCATTGATAATGTTTTTCTAAAACTATTATTTTCATTGTTGCTAAGTAACTATTTTCTAATGCCAAATTTCCTTCTACATTGTTAGTTGACATTTGACTCTCAGCAAGACTCTTCGCATCTCTTGCTTTTATTTAATCATCATGTGTACATATCAGTATGAACTTAAGGATATCAATTTTATTCACTGGGTTATAATATTTTACAGGCATTTTTATTTTGATATTCTGTCACGTATTTGACCAGTGAGAGTTTCTTTAAACAGAATCTCATCTTTTCTTGCCATATACACTTCATTTTTTTTTTTTTTTTTTTAGCACTTTTTAAAGTTCTGGCAAGCCAAGATATTCTAGGATTTACCATGGACTTTTTTTTCACCCTAGCCTTGAAATCAGCCAATTCTCTAGAGAACCTTAGGTTTTTAGTGGTATTTAGAAGCCGAGATCTGTGCACTTTTGTTATTTGCTTCAGGGTCCTCTCAGTAAAAAGACCTAGGAAGTATATATATGTATGTGTGTGTATAAGTATATGTATAGGTATATTCATACTTATAAATCCTTATTTTTCCACAGCAAGAAAATATGACCACAATATATTTATTTATTTTTCTTAATCGCCTTGTATCTGTCAATCTCAGAGACACATAAGCCATCTCCTTGGGCCCAACGAAATGGGATTTCCCCTTAGCGCTGGCCCCAGAGAATACACTAGTCAAGTTCCTGAACATGGCTAGAGTGGGCTGGGCTGGCTTTTTTCCTTCCTCCAGTTCAATTCGGCTCTGATAAAACGCCAGCTGATGAAGCTTTGGTTAACTGGTTTCTCCTGAGGGCAACCCTGTTAAGAAGAGAGCGCTCTGATGTATTTCCTGTCTCCCTGCTAGAAACTCAAGGGGAATTTTTCTCCAATACTTACTGTGAGGACCTGGTAGGGCTCCTAGAGGTAAAATTCTCAAAAGTGTGGGGTTCCCTCCTCACCCCAGTGACTGGGTCTTTCTGGTGTTTTTCTCTCTCAGACTTGTTCACACTGAGCTTCAAGCAATTCATCAATTACAGTTCAGTTGTCCTCTGGCCCTGGTTCCCCTGGAGGTTTCACTTTACGGATTTCTGCTCTGGTAAGTTGTGATATTCTGTATTTGCCTGTCGATGTCTATTTTTTGGGGGCAGCGGTTTGCCCTGTGATTTGATTTCTCTTATGGATCTAAGAAGAATTGTTGATTTTTTGGTTTGTTCAACTTTTTACCTGTTGTTTTGATGGAGTGGCAACTCCCAAGCTTCTTATATGTCAGGCCAAAAATGGAAGTTTTTACTTAGGCCTTTTCAAATTTCTTTCAACAATGTCTTGTAGTTTTAGGTGTACAGGTCTTGCACCCATTTTGTTCATTTATCTCAAGGTATTTCACATTTCTTGATGGGAATTTTTAACAATTTTATTTTACAATGGTTCATTGCTACTATATGGAAATACACTTGTATTTTGCAACCTTACTAGTAAGTAGCTTTTTGAACATTCCTTAAGATTTTCTACATTAATATAATACTGTCTCAACTGGGACAGCTTTTAGTCTTTTTCTTTTCCAATACATATGCTTTCTATTTATTTTTTTCCTTATTGTAATAGCTAGCACCTTCAAAAAAATGCTGAATAGAGTTGATAACAGTGAGTTTTTTTGCCTTGTTCCTAAACTTAGGGACAACTGTGGGGGTTTTTTTGTAGATGCCTCTTATATCCATGAAGTTACCTTATTTTTTTAGTTTGTTAACAGTTTTTAATCATTAATAGGTATTCAATTTTATCAGATGCTTTTTTTCATTCCTTTTTAAGCCTAGTAATATATGGAATATACTCAGTTACTTTAATAGATTTTCAAATGCTAACCAAACTTGTTTTCTTAGGATAGATCCTACTTAGGCATAATGTATTATACATTTTATGTATTTCCGGATTTGATTTGCTAAATTTTTAAAAATAATTTTTACATTTATTTTTATGAAGAATATTGGCCTATAATGTTCTTTTCTGATGTCTTTGGTTTTGTTATCTGGATGGATAATGCTGGCTTCATAAAATGAATTGGGAAGAGTGTGTGCTATTTTTTTTTTTCTTCTAAAATAGTGGTTCTCAACCTTGGCTGCACATTAGAATCACGTGGGAATCTTTTTAAAATCCTGATTTCTGGGCCTCATCCTCTGGAAATTCTGTTTCTTTGTTATGGGGTGGGGCCACAACATTAGTAACAAAGAAACAGAATTTCTGGAGGATGAGGCCCAGAATTCAGGATTTTAAAAAGATTCCCAGGTGATTCTAATGTGCAGCCACGGTTGAGAACCACTGTTCTAAAGCATAAGGTAGAATTTACCCAGGAAGGTATGTGGGTCTGTTGTTTTAATTGTACAAAGGTTATTCAAATTTTTCATAGACCCAGGTGTCTTAGATTATCTACTCATTTTTTAATGAGCTTTGATTGTTGGTGTCTTTTAAACTATTCTTCTATTTTATCTAAGTTGTTGAATTTATTAGGATACAGTTGACCTTAAAATTTTCTTATCCTTTTAATACTTATAAGGTATTCAGTAATGAGCCACCTTGTATTTTTATATTGGTGATTTGAATGTGTTTTTGTTGTTGTTTTCTGATAAATCTGAATAGGATTATTCAATTTTATTAATGTTTTCAAAGATCAGGTTTTGGCTTCATTGAGTTTTCTCTATTATTTTTGTTTTATATTTAATTGATATCTTCTCTTAATTAATTTGCTAAGAAATTATTAACATTAATGACTAATATTCCAAATTAGTCACTTGGGGGTTAATTTTCTTTTTCTAGTTTCTTACTGTGGTAGCTGAGGTCTTTGATTTTATCTAAGATTTGATATAAACCTTTTCTCTTTTCTAATACTTAAGTGTGTTATGGTTGTAAATTTCTCTCTAAACACTTTTGTAGCTGCAAGCCTAAAATTTTGATTCATTGCTAATTTAGTATTATCCATTTCAAAATGTTTGCTAGTGTCTTTTATGATTTCTATCTTGATTTGAGGGTTGTATAAGCTAAGACGTAAGTTGCTTAATTTGTAATATTTGAGGCTTTGTAGATGTTTTATTTTTATTAATTTCTAATTTAAGTTTTGGCTAGAGAAAATCCTATTTTAAGATTTTTAGCTTTTAAATTATATTGACTAAATTTATGATTAGTATATAATTAATATTGGTTACTATTTCATATGCACTGGAAAAGATTGTGTAATCTGAAGTTGTGGCATTATAGTGTTCTTTAAATGTCAAGTAAATTAAGGTGGTTGACAATGTTGCTCAGATCTCTATTATCATAGATGGTGTTTTTTTCCCTGGTTGTTCCATTAATTGTCAGGAAGAGCATGTTTAAGTCTTCAACTAAGATTGCATATTTTTCTTTTTTTCCAGTTTTTGCTTTATATGTTTTGTGGCTCTTTTATTGTGTACAGTAGTACCCCTTTATGTACAGGGGGTATGTTCCAAGATACCCTGTTGAAGCAGGGGGTCCCTCGGGGGTGAGGACGACGGAGCCCCAATGTGCTAGGGTGTCTGCATGCATGACCCTGGGACCAGGTTCAGTGACGCAGATCCATTTTATTGTGGAACTACAGGGGTATATATAGCATGAGGGGACCAATCAGAGGGAGACAAGTTGCTACAGGCGACCAATGGCTGAAAGGCTGGGGTACTGTGCATGTGGCTCTAGGAGTTCGTTCAGGCGGGCGTTGCTACTTCCTGGTGTGCCGAGGAAGCATGTCATGGTGGAGTGTGCTCACACCATTGCATCAGCCGCAGCGCTGAGAAATAACTTCCCGAGCTCTACTACACTCTGTGGCTGCCTGAAACCACAGACACTATGAATCTTATATATACAATATATATAAGTATAATAATATTAAGTATAACATTAATAAGTATAATAGTTAAGTATAAAAAGTATAATACAATATATGTATAAGTATATGTATATGTATAAGTAATATGTATATATAACATGTACATTATACTTACGTATCTGTGATAAAGTTTAATTTATAAATTAGGCACAGTAAGAGATTAATAACAATAACTACTTATAAATTATAACCATATGCTATGATAAAATTATATGAATGTTTTCTACCTCTCTCTCTCAAAATATCTTATTGTACTATACTCACCCTTCTTGTGATGATGTGAGATAATAAAATGCTTCCATGATGAGATAAAGTGAGGTGAATGAATGATATAGGCACTCTGACATAGCTTTAGACTACCACTGACCTTCTAATGATATACCAGGAAGATCATCTGCTTCTGGTGATCCTGGATCAAGTCATGAGGGCATCAATGGCTGGATGCCAGGGGCAGATGTCAATGTTTGGGGAAATTTAGTATTTTCAGACTGCAGTTGACTGTGGGTTACTGAAACTGCAAAAAGTGAAACTGCATGAGGAGGGCCGACTGTATTTATAATTGTTTTACTTTCTTGATACATGAACTTTTATAATAATGACATATCCCCCTCTATCTCTAAAAATAGCACTTATCCTCAAGTTTATTTTATTATATTAATATTAAATTGTTCTTATTTACAAATAAAATTTTAAATTTTTACTTTCAGTAATTGTGTTTTCTTTTAAGGTCTCATAGGTAGGAGATCATTTATATGCAAGATCTTTTATATAAAAGACATGAATTAATTCACATCTGTTACATTTAATATAATTATTGATGTGATTGCATCTAGATAAGCTTTTAACTATTTGTTTTAAATTTTAGCATTTAGTTTTTTCTTTCATCTTTTTGCCTTGTTTTTTTGGTAAATATAAATTTTAAAATGCCATTTTCATATGTCTACTTTTCTATTTTAACTGCATTTCTTAGTGGTTGCTGCAGAGGTTAAAATGTATAGTTTATATCTATTCAGGCTACTTAGATAAAATTTTTAATTACTTCTTGTAAAATACAGATGGCTTGTAACAATATATATTTCCATTTCCTCCCCCTTCTTAAAACTATTTCCATGTGTATCGTATCTATTCACCCTATAAAGCAGAGGTGGGGAAGGCCCAGCTCTCTGGCCATATAAGACTCGCAAAATCATTTGGTCTGGCGCTGCCAAGGCATTAGGGGTGAGTTAATTAATTGTTTAACCAAATATAGCAGGCTACTTTTTAACCTGATAATTTTGTATGGCCCATGAATGATGTTATAAATATCCAAATGGCCTTTGGCAGTAAAAAGGTTCCCCACCCCTGCTTAAATCAACAAATAACTTAAGATACCTTTTTGCCTTATATACTCATATAACTTACAAAAAAGAAAAGAAGTTTTATATTTACTCATACTTTTACCATTTCTGTTACTTCATTCTTTCCTATTGATCTGAGTTGTCATTAAGTGTCATTTATTTTGAGATTGAAGAACTCATCTTAGCATTTCTTATAGTGTATACCAGTGTTCCTGATAGTTTCTTAATTTTTTGTTTACCTAAAAATGTTCTTAATTTGCCTTCAATTTTGAAATATAGCTTTGCTATAAATATTTTTTTTTATCCTTCCATGCTTTGAACATGCCATTCCAATGTCTTGGACTTCCATGACTTCACATGAGAAGTCAGCCATTAAATTTTGTGGTACCCTCACCTTCTCCAAACCTCCTGAAATATGTTGCTCAGGCTTCTTTCAAGATCGTCTTTTTATCTTTGGCTCATAAGCTGTTTGACTCTGGTATGTCTAGGTATAGATTTATTTTTATTTATCTTGACTGGTATTTGTTGAACTTTCTGGATCTGTAAAATAATGTATTCTACTAAATTTGTAAATTTTTAGTTAATTTATTTTCAAATATTTATTTTTTTTACCTCTGTGGGGTTTTTTTTCTTTTTCTTTTTTCTTTCTTTCTGGAATTCCAATTACATGCATGCTAGATGATCTTAAATGTTCTGTTCTCGTTTTCTCTGTTCTTTGAATTGGAGAATTTCCATTGGTTTTTTAAGTGCAGGAATTCTTATTTTAGCCATGTCGGTGTCTGCTACTGAACTTAATCTAGCTAATTTTATGGATTCCTCATTAATTTCCAACCGCTCTGCTCTTTGGGTTCTGTTCTCTGAAACCTCAGT